CGGCAAATAAATCATCTGGCAGTCTTTACTATTTCACGACAGCTGTTATATATTGTATTAAGCAATAAGATTGGCCTATTTGTAAAATATAAGGCATAATAAGAGATGCCAAAATTAAATCTTTGAATAATATAAAGATTATAAAGATAAACAGCAGGAAAAAATATGGATGTGCTCTTATTTGTAAATGTCCTCATTTCTAGCAGGAAGCATTTGTCAAAAGTTAAAAGCTAAATGAATAAAGTACAAAGAAAATGATATAATCAATGCAAAATCTTTCCATCAGTTGCTTTTCAGTCCCTTCGCCAATTTGGTACCGATCAGAAATAATGAGCACCGATATGGAAAACTCTTTTGGAATACTCAAAATGTAACAAACAATTTCCAAAATCAATTGCCTAATCCCCTAACTGCGCTTAATTAGACAGAGATATAATAATTTGTTTGGGAATATCTTTTATGCTAAAGAATATATTATGTAGCCTATACTCAACAAAGAATTTATCCGTATCATGTAAAAGCAGCTTATTTTGATGAACATAAAAGTAAACGGTTAGCAAAGGTTATCAAGAAGACAGGGTGGCAAAGAGATGTGAGACCTTATCAGAAAGTTTAAATGCTTAAAATTTCCATTTAACCTATAAAGATAACTTTGAGCTTTCTATTTGCTCTCAAAAGATAATAAGAGAACAAGATATCAGGTTGTAGCAACATATCGTACTTTGTCACCAGTTCGAACCAATATTTCGTTTTTCACTAATTTATTAACCGCCTCATCGAATAATTCTTTTGTAAAAGACTGAAAAACAATATTAATAAACTCGAAGGCCACAAAAATTGAAGTACTGAAAGAGTACAGTTCCAAACATTTCAAAATCAATTTTCTAATATCATTTGAAAGAATCCAGTTATACACTAGCTTTCAATCAATAGACTGATAAATCTCAATATTTTTAAGATTTATCAGTCTATTGATTGAATAGACTGATAAATCTCACTGAGCCGTACTTCCTTCTACGAATCTGGTGCAACCATTTATTAATCAGTTTTTAAACTTCTCTATTTTCAAAATTGCACAAAATTATCATCAGATCTGCAAATCCAAAAAGCATAAGAAACTATGCAAAATCTTAAAAGTCTACCACGTCGTTTTGACGCAACTGTTGCATTAATTTCTTCAGCGAAACCAGAATTCCATGACGCTGCGAAAGTTCACTACATATTACTTCAGCCAGTTGATCAATGATCTGTCTACTAGTTGCGCTGATTCCAGCAGCTAAAATGTTGATGTCAACTCGACCGGTAGATGGATCCACTGCAGACTGTTTCAGAGCTTCACGATGTAAACTGAAACGCGTGAAAATTGGGAACGAAAAACCGAATTTCAAAAACCTGGATTTAAACCTAAACCGAGAAGTTTATTCTAAATTAAAAATAACCTAGAATTCACTTTTTCAAGCATCAGTATTATATAAAAAGTGGGAAAAAAGCAAATACTTTGGTCAAATTAGTTATAACAAATTCTACTCGCCTGTATGCATCTTCAACGTCTTGTACTGATACCGTATTACTCAATCTAATTTTTGCGTGAGCTTCGGCCAAACGGATTAATGACTCCAGTTGTCGAGGATAGGCGGAAACCTACAAACTGCAATAGCTCAGTCTGTCAGTCTTTCACTCACCATTAAGACATGAATGGTATTTCAAAAATTTGAACTGAGTCGACAGTGCATGGTGCACACTACAAGAAAATTTAAATAATTTTACTTGTCCAAAACCAGATCCAGCTTTCCGCATATGGAGATATTTATCAATAAGGCACCGGGAAGATGCTTCATCCAACAGCGGATTAACATAAGATCGAGCATATCCGATGTAATCACGCAAAAGAGCCAAATCCAGCAATTCGCATTCTACAACGTTCAAATGTAACTTCCACACTTTTAAAATCCTACATATTACTCCATTCATCAGTATAAGTTATCATCCAATTACCACCTTTCTTTCATACATTTATAAATAAACAGGTTTTCTTCATGGCTGTAGTTCTACTGACTCACACGACCTAGCTATGTAGAAAACTCAGTTCTTAGTAAACAAACATACCTGCATCATTTGTTTCTCTATAATAAAGTGCAACCAAATGATTAGCTAGACATCGATCATATAATTCATTTTGAGAATCAACCAAAAGAAAAATTAAATCGAATCTGGAAACTCCTCAACAAAATGTTTGAAATGTCATCCAAATTCCAAAAATGAAATTCCAGCAAATATAAAAACTTCTGAAAACCTAGAAAGCAAATGTTGACCTAGAGAGCAATGTATGAGGCAGTTGAATATTATCAACGATAGTCTTATTCCGGTTCCACTGAGAGTCTACAGGATTTGCTGCAGCCAAAATTGAAGTCCGCGCATTTAACTGACAAATAATTCCAGCTTTTGCTATTGAAAGCGTTTGTTGTTCCATTACCTAGAGACGATGTATACGGTTATGAAGTAATGACGTCAATGAATAGCTTAATAAGTTATTAAATCAACCTACGAACTTGTAACTCAATGCTTTAATGACATGTCTTTATTTTTTATTTTTCTTTATTTTTAAATAGTTTCATTCAAGGATTTCAAAATAACCTAACGATTTGAATCTTTATTATTAATGGCTAGTAAATGATAAATAGTACTAGCTACTCATGACTAATATTAGTTTCTAGTTACTATTTATAAGCTTGAAAATGGATGATTAAGAAAAGAATTAAAAGAACAGAAAATGAGTGAAAATCGATACAATCCCTCCTTCTGCAACTGCAAAAACCAAAATACCATCTAACTATTTTGTTTTAATGTACCTCATGCAAAACCGAACGCGTACTATCGTTCATTTTATCAAATTCGTCTATACAACATACTCCGTTGTCTGCCAAAACAAGTGCACCTGAAATAAGAAGCTCCGTTGCTTTCGTTTTTTCTTGCTTTTACTTTGCAATATTAATAAACAACATTAACCATACCAGTTTGCAGCACGAGGTGACGCGTGTCGGGATCACGGGTGACAGACGCTGTTAACCCGACCGCAGAAGACCCCTTTCCCGATGTATATTGTGCACGTGGTACAAGTCGATACACATACTGAAATTTGTCATGGGAGTATTATCTCACATAGCTCGTACGGAAGTATTCGTAAAGAATATTAACTCCATTTTACCAATATTTATTAAGCCTCCACATTTTCTCAGTTCAAAGTAATGACTTATTCAGGTAACAGTCTTTTCAGTTTTCCTTCTTGATTTAACATTTCATCCACTGTTTATATTTCATCTATAAGTGCAAAAAATGTACTCATAACAAAAAAGAAAAAGCGCATTTAAAGAGGCTTAAAGAAAATTATGAAGAGGTAGAAGATTTAACATCTCTGTTTCCACAAATTATTACAGACAGCTGTTATTACTAACGTCAAAACTTACTTGTAGAAGTTGACTTTTGCTGGTGCCAGGATCTCCGCAAAGCAATATGTTTATTTCGCTTCGTAGTTTAATTTTGTTACCTGTTCTATCCTCCTTGTTGGTACCACCGAATAATAAACAGAGAATACCTCGTTTAATATCCTCGTGGCCATAGATTGAAGGAGCTCAAAACAATATTGGTGGAAAACTCTTAACGTTTAATATTTTTAGACGTAATAATGTTAAGGCAATAACGTAGTTACTAAAATATTTCGGCATTCTTATCCTGTTCGTTAAATGAATATTCTTGAATATTCCAGATCTTATTTTGAAAAAGGAGGGATAGCAACTTCCGATAATACAATTTTCACAACAATTTCAGCACTGCCACATTAAATGCTGTCATTGGTAATAAGACGGGAACTAAATCGTGATATATTAAAAAGTATGACAGCTCCCCTAAAAGTATAAACATAAGATGCGAAAATAAAAAAGTCATATTGCAAAAATACGAGTTTTTCATACCCACAGCATTCGTCAACCGATTGACAATATCGGTTCGTTTTGACAAATTCATGATCAAGGAAACTTTTTCATCTGTTAAATGAGTTCTGAAAAAAAGCAAAAATATAACGTTCAAGTGATAATGATTCAAGAAGCTTTCTAATATGTGATAAATAATATCCAGATTATGACTCAGTAATCTGATTACTGGACCTTTTTCTGTATCCTCGAAAAATGATTGCCTACCCATCATCGATTTGATGAAGGCGACTTTGATCAGTCTTTCGAAAGTGTAATACATCGATACTAGTACGATAAACAGCATTAACGTTTCGCATGCGTGGATTAACACGTGCTGGTACAGCACGATAAATTCCCGTTACAGCTACACGATCCCCAGGTTGAACCCGTTCCACCATATCACCGTGCGCAAGCAATGTTACAGTATGTGGTGTTTGGCCAGCAGGCATATCATCTAAAAATGAATACATAAGTTAAATTTTTCGCATTCGAATTTTAAGCAGAAGGAAAATGAAACTACATCATGAAAACTAATTGACCAATCAGTGTAGTGTTCTTTTGAGAAAGTATAAATAGACATCCATTTCAAAAAAGGCTCTATGATAGGACTGAAACCGTTCCGTAGGATCTGACCAATTTTAAGACCTACACAAATCAATAACAATTAAAAAGTCTATATTGGGAAAATTCACGGATTTTAATTCCGCTGTGCACCTGGAGACTCTTGCAGTTTAATTATTTGTTTATCCATGAAAAGAGAACGATTATGGACAAGCTGGAAAGAATATTTCGACTGACAGTTATGACACATGGCTGGTTCTTCAATTCGACCACGGTCTACTTCAACATCAACCTGAAAATACCTCTCAGGCTCCACAAAAATTCACAAGAAAGATTTACGACCTTAACGGTATGAAAGTTTATTGTTTTTCTACTCTATAAGATTTAAAAAAAACGAACCGAGTACTCGATATAATCCTCATATTGTCAAAAAGATAAGTAAAAGCTTTAAGTATCCTAATTTTAATAATAATTCAGACAAAAATTACCGGAAAATTGCAAACAGTGCACTGAAAGTATGCCTGTTTCATCTCAGGGATCAATGGTGAAGTTCGTATAACCATACCACTAATGGTGATTAACTGATCGATATCCTGCGGATTGAGTGCACGCATGTTGCGTGTTTTTTGTGCATTAAATGGCCGTACTTCAATCGGAGCATATAATACTTTTTGATATTTTTCGGAAAATATTTCGTTTATCGTCAGATCAAGATACGGTATAATGTCCTGGAATTTACAATGACTTTATAAATTCGAAAAAACAAGTGCGGAATGTGAAGGAAATTATAGAAACATAAAATCGATGCACTAAAACTGATGATGCTACTAGCAGCAATAATCGTCTGATAACTCGAAATAACATTAACCGTTATTCCATAATATAACAGCTTCTAACTACTTATGGCTTGAGTCATAAATTGTTCGCCTTATTTATTCCCAACAAGAATTTTATTTTAGTCGAAAAGCAATCATCAAAATGTGATAGAAGGGTAAAACCAGTAAGCATAAAACTTGCTTACCGATGGATAACAAACAATTTTCCGATACAGGGCTTCATTGAATAGTTTAATATGTTGCAAATTCAAATTGAAAGCAATGTTTTCACTTTGGTCAATTTCATACAGGCGCTCCAAATAATATGGTCGTTCCAAATCAATTTCTGGAAATGAATTAATTTATGTCTGCCTTTTGTTTTTTTGTAAACATGCGTTGCCATTCATTCAAGCTACTCAACATTATTTAAAGTTAATGCTGGAAATGTCATTGTCACACTACAGAGCCCAAAAACTTGTTTATGAAAATAAGGATCAATCCTTAATGACCAATTTTTTCCTACTATTTCCATCAGCAGTACCAAAGTTAAACGAATTCCAAACTGTTTGAGAGATCGTCCTAAACAGAAAAACGAACTTTACTAGTAAAACTTTGGCAAAAAAAAAGTTTGGCAAAACATAGCATATTATTCACATAAATTTGTGCATTTGATCTTTCTCCCACCTCGGCAATGGAATTTTTACTAATAATATTATCAAATCTACCCATTCGCACGTTCGATGGAAGAGTCAATACATTTTCATCATCTGAAACGCTTGTCGGTCTAAATTCATTAATGAAAGTGCGAAATGCGCGCTGTACATCAAAAACGCAGATACGCGTTCCCCAAATGTAAAGTTTTGGGCCAGGTTCCAAACCATTTGAGAGATCGTCCTAAAAAGGAAAATAAGCTTTACTAGTAGGACTTCGGTAAGAAAAAGAATGGTAAAATATAGCATTTTTTCTGAAACATTTTGAAACGAACTTCCATTCTGTCGATGCAAATAGTACGATGTTGAGATGGGGCACAATTAATATCAGGTCGCATATGTCGCACTGTCCGCTGCCATGACATCGTACTGCCTACCTGACTCGATGTATCCAGATCAGAACCATAATGAAGTACACTTGATTCTAGAAATGAAAAAAAAAAAAAACTAAAGCTATATATATATGCACATTTGTCAAAAATACTCGGATGTTTGAATACCAGGGAATGAAAGTATTTATTGGATGTCCACTACGACAATGGTGTTTAGTTATGACTGCTTCGCTAAGTGAAATCCTTTAATAAAGTTTACGATTTATCCATTTTCCAGTATGCCATACATACTGTAATCAAGTGAAATGAGATAAATCACTCTATGCTGCAATAAATATGCTTTATCGGACGATAATCAGCGCCACTAATGGCAGTATTCGAAAGCTTTTTCAAAACAAGGTTGAAGTTTTTTTTTATTTTTTTAGCTCTGATTTATATAAAATAACCATTTTGAATTCGACCAGCATTCGAACTAATTCCAGCAACGCTGATAAAAACAATAAACGTCGGACTGATAACCAACATCAGAAAAGTGTCATTTACCAGTTAGCTGTGATCGTGCTGATGAATGATGCTCAGTTTGATCGCGTTGAACTGCTTCTTGTTCTGTACCTCGGATAATTCCAGTTTCTACTACGGATGCAAAATCATATTTTAAGCATAAAATAACCAACATATAGCTAGCATGCAAATGAAGAAGTCCGCAAAATACAACCAATATAGACCTACTGAGAGTCATCAAATAACCTATTCATTATGTTTCTAAAAATCCTACAAAAATCACCGATCTCGTGCTCTTGTGATGATGGTAATTGTAGGACAGCTCGATGTGAACTTCTACTTCGGGATACATTTTCGGCAGTCGTCTGCTGTGAAATTCTCGTCGAATTATTCGAAGCCTCAGAGAGTGTTTGGCGTGAATTCGTAGGACTTCCCGAAGTGGCAGAACGAGGGCGATCGCGCGAACGAATAGAACGTGAATGGGAAGAATTATCAGACATTTATAGAGTGTTGATCTATTCTTCTTTGTCTAAATCAAAATTTTTTAATCCACAGAAACTAATAAAAGACACTTTAATTCTACTTTAAACATTCGAATCAAGTATGGTCCAACCCGCTTGACTTATTTACAGCCCAATTCCTCCAGAGAGGTTATGACTCAATGGAGGCTTGCTGCCCCCAAACCATTTCCTCCTCCCGCGTGACAAAATTTGAATTGTTATAGTCCTTATGAGCGAGTAGAGTTAATGAAATTTTATGTCCTATTTGTTCGTTGTGATGGAAAAACTGGAAGGGGAAGTACCGAGGAAACGTCACGGGGAGATGAATTATAAAAATCCGGTACACTAAACAAGTGGCACCGACTTTACAGATGGCAAATTCGGCTCAACTCTGCATTACACCTGATGTAGAAAAAGTTTTTCTGTCCACCGGAATATGCCATCCCGCAGCACCACTGAAAAAATAGTAGCACCAATACCAAGAGTTTTCAAGTTGAATAGGTCAGAATTCATCCTTCTTTAGAATTGCAACTTTGTCGATCAATCTGGTGACATCCGATAATTCATTTTGCCTTAATGTTTTCTCTAATTTCTTTTCCGATTGATTTTTTCTTGCAGTTGATACAAAATGTAGCATAATTTGTTGGTTGCTGGAAAAGGTATTAGTTGTATATGAACTTAATAAACAGCTTTGTCTGATCGAAGGCACACTTAATGATACTATGCTATACAGCCAACAGCTCCACTCTATTTTTTCAAAGGTTTAAATCTATTCCCTTACCCAATTTTAATCAAAGGAAATAATATAAAACAGGGTGCCTATCCAAGAGTACTAAATAACACATTTTAACACTACAATATGTTGCGATTAGTGATATAAATTAAACGAGATTAAAAAGTAAGATATTATGATAAACTAGCTCGGCAATGCAATAGGACAATCTTGAGTTTTGATGAAATGAGGAACTTAGTGCAGGAGAATAGACGACATTTTTATATGATAATTTGCCTTGTTGTATCGTTATCTTTTCCGGACTTTTTTCCCCATTTCTATCTTTGTTTTAGTAGAAACTATTGAAATAGTACCTAAAACGGATGATAGTACGGTTTTGGAATTTACTGATTAAAATGTTCATTGGTTTAAGGATTCTCCTTACTTGTACTGTTGCTAGCAACTTAGAATTATATGCAATGTGATGTATCCAGTTATTTCATTTTACGTTTCAACCTGCAATACAATATTTCACATAATCTAGCCATCTACGGGAATTTACCTTTATTATGATCTATCTTCCGAAAATTTCAGCTATATATTGGAAGGATTATTGTATTGTTTGATCAAACACTTCTGCATATAGTCTCCAAAATAGCGATATTCCCAGTTCTGTATAGGTAAAGAAACCCGTTTCGAAATGTCTGTTTG